CTTATGGTTATGGAGAGAGTATAGATTTCCAAGAAATCTCACGTCATTGCTCTTCAGTCGGGATCGCAAGGAAAATCAACATCTTAGAGCTTCTTGCCATCTGGTGGGCTTTGGATTATTTCCTACCTTTATTACGAGACAAGTTGGTCTTGATATTTTCTGGCATTTGAACTGCTGTCTCATACCTCATTAAACAAGATGGCACCAATTCAGATTCACCTTGTTTTAGAATGTTAGAAGTCCTGTTCTGGGCCTAATAATTTCAAACACACTTAGTGACGCACCATTTTCAGGTGCTTTGAATCTTGTCACAGACTGTTTATCTCATTCTGAAAAGATTCTTCCCATAGTGTGTTCTCTCAGTTCCCAAGTGTGCCAGTGGTTATATGATCAATGGGATACTCCACATCTTGACACATTTGCTACCCATCTCAATAACAAACTTCCAATCTTTACCTGTATGTCTACCTGTCTTCTTTCCAGGGTTTTATCCATCATCCAGTTAACTACTAGTTAAGTCCTTCTGAGTACACTTTTCTTGCCAGCTGAAACTTGTTTTCCAGTCCTTAACCTCCTTCAGGCAGTATCTCTGTTACCACTTCCTCTTTCCCAATCCCTCCTCTGTCAACTGCAGGCGCCTATCATCATCTCACAATCGCTACACCATAGCTTTACACGTTTTTTTTTGTCTGAACCCTTTGTGAGACAGTCTGGACTACCTGAATGTGTAGCTTTCATCCATTCCATTTCCATATATACTTATTCACTCATGGTATATCAGAGAAAATTATAACTGGCTGGAGAGACCTTACCCTACGAAAGCCTTTTGGTTAATTTTCATAAGGACTTGTTTTGGAAAAAAAGTTGGACGAGCCAGAGAATATACAAGCTGGCTCTCGAACCTCCATCATACTGTCTCCTGCAGATTGATTCCTTGGAGATTTGGTATGTAACGGAGATGGATCAGTCTAGATATATTGTGTTGGCTGGGGTACCCCTACCCTACCATTGGAAAGAAGCTGAACTAACCAACATATCTACAATCAAGGATTTGCCCCTCTTTTTCCCACCCAATATAGTGACACATGCTTTCAAGATGGGTGAAGAGTATACTGTTGCGTCAGCGAGGTCACTGACTAGTGTCACGCCACGTTTGTAGAACTATCCTGTTCCTTCGGGAGTGCTCTAGCATTTGCTAGATTGGGTTTGGTCTGGTATATATAAGATGGTCATGGCGTGTCGTGACAATGTGTGTAGGTAGTGAGTAATTGAACTGCAGTCAGAAATTTTTGTTGAAGTTAACGTTCGTTGTTAAAACGTTTGTTATAGAGCGACTGTTGAAAATAAGTGTATCGGTAAAGTTATATTCAGAAAGAATAAACCAGTTTTATTAAGAAACGACTTGTGTCGCTAAAGTTTCGTGGGAACGAAGTTACGGAAAATCAACTAACGAACGGAGACGTAACAAATTGGTGTCAGAAGTGGGATAAAAAAAATGGAAACGAGAAGCGGCAAATCAAACTATAGCATAGCAGACTTGATGGCAGCAATACAAGAACAACAAAAGAAACAAGAAGAACGAGAAGAGAAATTACAACAGTTGTTAGAGGAAAAAGAAAAGAAACAAGAAGAGAGACAACAGCAGTTGCAAGAAAACCTGCAACAGTGGCAGCTCGAACAAAAAAATAAACAAGAAGAGAGATTACAACAGTTGTTAGAGGAAAAAGAAAAGAAACAAGAAGAGAGACAACAGCAGTTGCAAGAAAACCTGCAACAATGGCAGCTCGAACAACAAAATAAACAAGAAAAGAAACAAGAAGAACGAGAAATTAAACAAGAAGAGAGACAACAGCAGTTGCAAGAAAA